GTCAGACCCGCGGGTCGGGGCACCAGGCATCGGCTCGACGCGAGCAGCCAGTGCCTGAAATCACCGTCCCTGCGGGGCGGCTGCTGGGGGGCGGCTGCGGCCCCTGAGGCGGGGGCTGGACCGTGCTGCGGCAGGAGCCTCAGCAGAAGGCAGCTCTGGGCCACAGCACGGGAACTCGCGCCGCAGCGTTCCACTGGCTTGAGCGGAGCAAGCGCGGTTCCAGCAGCAGCAAAGCGCCCGAAGGCCCGTCGTGGCTCTGGGGTCCTGCGCTGCCCAGTGAAGGGCAGGACCCCCACCTTGCCGCCCAGGGGTTGGCATACTCCTTCGTCCTGTTTTTTCCTCTTTTTTCCTGGATGCTTATTGTTTGATTCTTAGTTGCCGGTTTTCTGAGGTGCTGCCTCTTTGAGCTTCCTGCTCCGTGTGCGTTGAAAGGTTAGCACAGCTATGTTTGAACTGGCAGCTACCTCAACAGCCAGCGAGCAATTGGCTCTTATCATTAAAAATTCAGTCTCTGAAATACTCAGCCATTTAAAGAAGGCCTGAACAGGAAAATTGCAGTACACGCTGCACCTATGAAAAGCATGATAAGTGAGTGCCAAGACTCCAGTTGCGGTGTACCACATACCCTTGGGGCTGGGCACGTGCCTCTGGATTAAATACATTTCAACAGATGGCTCTGTCCTGGGGAGAGTTTGATCTCTGGTTGTATCCAAACTGGCTTTGATCCTTAAGAGCCGTTGTAAAGATCCTTCTTAGCTATTGATAAATTATTGTGTTGATCGATGAAATAATTGGACACTGCTCAAGTTGCTCTTCATCAACTGGCCAAAAGTTGTATTGAGGGGTTATTTTTAATGACTAGCCAAATGCTTGGGAAGTCATGGTGTTCTTGGAATTTGGGGTGGATTGTGTTTTCACAGAGCTCCTTACCTTGGGAAGAGGGTTCAGTTGTACCATCCTGCTGCGTAGGCTGACTTACTGATTTGATTATTTTTCTTTAACAGCTGAAAGCTGATGTTGTTCCAAAGACAGCAGGTAAGGCAGCATCTCCAGAATTTTATACTTTATATATTTAAGGTTTAGGTTGCGATTTGCAGGAACAAGAACATTCTTTTACCTTTTGGAAACTATTTCGATGTTTCATCCCCATTTATTAAATGGAGAAATATGAAATATTCTTTGTCAGAACAGTGCTAGTGAGGAATTATAATTTGTTGCTGTTCCAAAGTTTTATTTTGTAATTTGTGCCAACAGTACAACCTCCATGTTGGGTTATCCGTGGTGAATAAATATGTTTAGAAATACATTAGTTTGCAAATGGAAAAGGGTAAACCAAAGGGATGGGTTCTAAGAGTTTCCAGAGACCACGTAGGGTTTTGTTTACCTGGTTGCTAGCTGCTTACTGTACTCACGTTACAAAGTTTTTGTGTTCTATCACGTGCTTCCTTCCTGATCTGTTTAGCAGTTCTGAAAAACTACTTTTCTTTCGGTTTCCAGTAGATGAGTATCCTTAAAAAAAAAAAAAAATCATCTTTGCAATTACTTTAGAGAACAAAAGCTGAAGTCAGAAAATGAAACTTTCTGACTTCAGAGTGGTGGTTTTGAGGTGGCAGGGGGATTGGAGTTAATATGTAACAGCAAAATAGAGGAGATGAGATGGTAAAGGATTGTGTTTGTGCCCACTTCTGAGGCGAAACAAGCTTTGTTTCCTTAGCTTTATAATGGAGGGTTTTTCAAAGAATGGAAACAACTAATAGATCAATAATACCTGAAAGATACTATAAAATTTTTGAAGTGTATAAACTTGGGGCATAGTTAATCTACTTGAGTTTAATTATGTTATGTATGTGTATATGTCATATATGGCAACATCATACTTTATGCTTTGTTTTCACAGAAAACTTTAGAGCTCTTTGTACTGGTGAAAAAGGATTTGGGTATAAAGGATCCACTTTCCACAGAGTGATTCCTTCATTTATGTGCCAGGTAATGGGGGTTTTTTCACTTCTCCTATTAAATTTATTTGTACATTATCTATATATTTTTAGAACCAGTAAGACTGTGAGTTTTAAGTGGCTCTGCTCTAACCTTTGCTAACTACAGAATAAAGAAGTGACTGTGACTTGCATTTGTCATCTTTTTGATATGGCTGTTTCTTAGCCCATCCTTTGAACAAATAAATGTAAATTATGTGTAGGCTGTCTTAAAAAAAAAACCCTGTCTTAAGGCTTTCTGCTTTTGTATAGCAGTGTACTTCAGTGTGGGGCATATTGCACTTGCTTGGGAGAAGTATTTGTGGGTAGAATGACAATCAACCTTGTGTTCTAAGAGAGCTGAGAAAACAATGTATCCATTCTTTATTCCTAGTAGAATAATCTGATCACAGTAGAGAATGTGGGTTTTTTTGTTTGGTTTTTTTTTTTATGAACATCTCCCTAATACAGAGTGGAAGAGAGAACCAAAAAGGGTTTGGGTCAATTTTTTTGGGATGACATACCTGAAATGGATTTTGTTTTGATTTAAAGGATGAATCTTTCAAAATTCTGAATCAAAGTTCATGCACGTTAGCAATTTTTTCTTAAGCAACAACAAAACAAACACAAAATCTTTTTGAAAGCCTTTTTTTTTTTCTTTTTTTTTTTTTTTTTTCTGTGCTTGGCAGATGAGCAGGAATTCAGCTGCTGTATTGCACTGGATTGTATGATTCCTGGTGGTCCTCTCTTCCCTTAAAAGAAGCTACATTTCAACAACATTGCATCGTAGAATAGCTCTGTAATAAATCTGAGATGAAGATTATAGTAAGCATGCTTTATTTATTAACTGATGACTGCCATGGTCCCCCTTCCCCACTTTTTTTAAACTAAAAATACAGCTGTCAGAACAATCTTATGACCTATTTCTGAGAAATGAAAGGAGACAAGTGTGCTGTAAAGGACCTATTTTCTTGCCTTTGAAATGCAAACTAGGATTTTGTGATACTGACAAAGGGACAAAGTTTAGAAGTCTTGCTGGGGTCAGAGATAAATATAAGAGAAATGGAAATCCTAGTCTCAGTTCTACCACTAATTTGTAAAGTTCTGTGTAAGTCTGTTGTTCTTGCCTCTATTTTGTCCCTTAAGTGGACCTGAAATGAGGATACTAGGTGGTTGACTAAGTGGTATGGTGAGATGATGAACTGATGTTTAGGAATCACTTAGTAGTCATTACCAAAATGGGTAATGTCAGAGGTTTCAAATATTTTAAAGTGAGAGGAAACAGTAGAGGCCTTCACACTTGTTGAGATGCAGTGTTAATAAGATTCAGACAATTGGTATAGCCTAATTGGAGGTCATCACACCCAGGACTTGGCGATTCAGATGCCTCCCCATGGCACGCAGCGTGCAGAGCATACTTCTGGGACTGTGTAGGAGTAGCCCTAACACCACCTGTAATAGATTGCTCAAGGTGAGAATGGAAGGGTGAACATCACATGAAATACCTGTTGGGTACGAGTTACTTGCCAGCATGGGTGGTGTCACCTGTGGGAGAGGAGGTGGCAGACTGCTGGAAGCCGTGTTAGGATCCACCTTTGGATTCGCCGTGGCTGGGTGGTTTTGTTTTGTTGGGTTTTGTCTAACCAAAGACAGGTGGCCACATCTGTCCCAGCAAACAGCATGTAGCTGAGGGACTTTTAAAATAGCTCAGGCGTAACACTTAAACAACAAAACCTAGACATGGCAAGTAGTAATAATGGAGATCCTGGCCAGTGTTTATACCTATTGGGCGAAAGAAAGAAAGGGAACAAAAAAAAAAAGTTCTCAAGTCTTGCCTACAGTGATGAATTCAGGTGATTCTGTTTTGAGGCCTTTCAGATGTTTCTTAAAAGTACTGCTGTTTGATCATTTGGGAGCAAGGCTCCAAATGTAACACGGAAGGGTGGTTGTTGGCATTATGGATGTCAGTTGCAGAGTATCGCAATATCTGGAGCAGGAGTTTACTTTTCGTTTGATTGTATCTTCATCTAGTGTCATGGGTTTAAATCCTCATGTGACCATACTCATTCTTAACCTGAAGAAAATGTGCTGATGTTAGTTTTTAAATTAGAGCAAGCGAATATATTTTCAATAGCATCACTTCTAATGTTGAATAATGCTTCTGTGTTAATAAAGTTAACAGCCATTTCTGTTTCAGGGTGGTGACTTTACAAATCATAATGGAACTGGTGGAAAATCCATTTATGGCAGTAGGTTTCCAGATGAAAATTTCCTACTTAAGCATGTAGGACCTGGTAAATAAATATATTTGTTCCACCTTCTGATGGCTATAACCTATAATGAAGCATTGTTTATGAAGATGTATTTAAGAAAAATATGGGTATTTTAGATGTGTGAGGCACTTGGTGGTTACACAGATATCAAGGAAGTTTAACAATGTATTGTCCCTGACATGTTTATTTGTGTAGACTGCTGTACAAATACAAGTCAGCCTGTAATGGGTGATACTGCCACTCTTGCCCTTACTATAAAAGAGACTGGGCAAAATAAATTATGGGGGCTTTTGTATTTTACTTTAAAATTCTACAAAGGTGAAATTACTCTTTTGTAAGTCATAGACTTGAATTTTTACTTAGGAGATTACTGCAGAAGTGAAACAAAGCAATCCCGGATTTCTTATTTACTAGATAACAGGCATGTCCTTTTAAGCTCCAACTAAATTGAGAAAAAACAAGGGAAAAGCTGTACATAAGAACATCTGATTGAATTCCATAGTCTCGTTTTCGGATTGTTACTTCCTCATCACAGGAAACTACTGCTGCTGTTGAACCACAGAAGAGGTTACCTGATGTTAATCGCATTCAGGACATGTACAACTAATTATTAACATTCTTGTGGAATGAAGGGAGGCTGGGCTTGAGGGAATAGTCAAAGACAACAAGTTGGCATTAGAAGTCATTTGGAGACAACGTGAAACCATCCTATCTTCTGTCTGTCCATCTTCAGTCTAAATGTGCAGAGGAAAACTGTCTTCTCAACAACACACTTGTTACACCAATCTAATAAGCTGCTGCTGCTGTTTTAGGTGTTCTTTCAATGGCCAATGCAGGACCCAATACAAATGGATCTCAGTTCTTCATTTGCACTGCAAAAACTGACTGGTAGGTTCGCAGCTGTGCATATTAACCTGATTAATTGATGCCTGGATTCGGAGGGTTTGGGGTTTTCTTAGGTTCTTTTGTTTGTTTGTGGGTTGTTGGTTTTTTGGTTGTTTAGTTTGTTTTGGGGGTTTTGTTTTTAATTTCCAAATTACGTGACTCATAATGGAAAATAAGTTGTTTTGTGCTACTTGAGGGAGGAGGGGCTGTGAGGGTAACAAGGCTGCTATCCCTCATAATGCTTTAAGATCCAAAGCTAAAAGTATTTCATGTCACTTGGAGAGCAGTTCTGCCTTTGCTGTAGAGTTGACCAGCAGGTGGGAACAATGAAGACCTGTTAACACCCCTCCACTGAGCTTGGTGTAGTTCAGTCTTTATGTTGTTGTAAGTAAAACTGTCTTTGTTCATTTGTTTTACAGGCTAGATGGAAAACATGTTGTTTTTGGGCATGTAAAGGAGGGAATGGATGTTGTGAAAAAAATCGAGAGCTTTGGTTCCAAGAGTGGAAAGACCTCCAGAAGGATTATCATTACTGACTGTGGACAACTGTCCTAGCCTCTTGCCCTACCATTCATGACTTCAGCTCTGTCAAAAATGAATCAAGAAACCCCCAAAACATTTCTGATCCCATGAGTAGCATTTATGGAACCGTCTTTTCTATTTAACTTGGTCCAGCTTTTATATTTAAATTGAATAATATTAATTAAAAGCATCAATAACTGAAACATGTTTCAACTGAGCTACCTTGGTAGTCACACTGATTTGGTGGAGTCCCATTGTGTTTTGAAAGGAGTAGTACAGTCATCCAGAGCATATATAACTCCAGTGTTGATACTGTTCTTACTATTCAGATGTTTCAGGTGTTAGAATCGGTGGTGGAGTTGACAATTTAAGTGTTCTATAGTTGCAGATTAGCTATAGATTAAGAAATACCATGTTTCCTTTAGTCCCAGTAAATGCCTATTCTGTTTTGTCTCATCACTTTGAAAAAATAATACTAACTAGTGCTCTCAAGGCTGTCTGCAACACAACTGTCAGATGTTTTCTTTCCATGTCTCAATTTAAGTGTATGCATTAGAATTAATGTGGGTTTTTAAAAACTAATTCTGTTTTAATCTTTTTTTTTTTTTTGGTAGTCTCAGACCACTGTTTAAAACTGAACTCTACCTTACCTTCCTTCACTGGAGTAATTTGACTCTTAGGTTAAGTAAATTGCGTAGGTTGAGTTAGCGTACCGCTAGAGTTCCTCCTGGGCAATAAGACCACAAATTAGCCAAAAGATTGTGGGACTTTTTTTACTATGCAACTGTGAACTTAGTTGAAGTGCAGTTCTGCTCTGCAATCTGGTTCCGTGAGGAATACACCACAGTTCTCAATAGATAAAGCCTGGTTTTGCACTTTGAGAATGTAACCAGACTAGATTGAGCTTACTTGAGTGAGAAATAGGTTTCATTGCTTTTTTGTCGTGTTGGTCCTGCAAAGTCAGCCCACCTTGGGTATTACTTGGATTATGATTTCTTCTCATACATCATCATCATCACAAGTCAAAATTGGTCACCGCAAAATCACAAGGCCTAAGTGGTGCAGCAAAATCATTAGTGTTGGACTGGATGCACAAGAAGGAAAGAACTCAGCTGATCAAATAAACATGTTTTTATAAAATGATGTTTTATGGGGAGTGCTTGAGCAGCAGCAAATACGGGAACCACGCTTTTAGAATTGTTAAAGCTGTAAAGCATTAATTCTTGTGGGGAAAAACCACTTGACTGTTTCTGTGCAATAATCTTATTACTGAAGAGAAAAATAAAATGTGATGTCTCTCTTCAAATGTGAATTTACTTCCATTACACTCTGATAATATGTGGGTTTAAAACTGTTTTGCACTGGATTTTTTTTTTTCACCAAGGGCTGCATTCTTGTATGTATGAGGTAGTATTCAGAGTGTAATTTTGCAGAAAATGGAATTGAAAAGCTTTTTATTCTTTACGCTATACTTGTTTCATTGTAGTATTTTTGAAATATTAATTTGTGCTAGTTTGGATTATTTCAGTTTGATAGAACAATGATTTTTTTTTTTGAGTTCTCTTAATTTGTATATGAAAAATAATTAAACACAGTTCTACCACAAAACAGTCTGGTTTTAATGTGATTTTTGCATGCTTACTTTAAAGTAAGAGTGTGAGGAGCTGAAACCTGTTGTGTTTACTCAGGCCCTTCTGTCCTGTCCTGTCCTCTTTGCAAAGGGTTGATGTAGTGGTATTCAGAAGCTGTGCTTTGCCTCTTGCTAGTGAATCTAAAATATCTGGGATACAGATAGCAGTTCAAGTTCTGTGACTGTTCTCTTGCCTGATTTATTCCATCAATTTGCAGAAATAGTGAGGAAAGTGTAAACTTGGTGTTTTTTTAAATTTCTGAATTTCTTTTCAAAAAAGTTGGTAATTCCAGCTTTTTCTTGGACAAGTGAGGGAAAGCTCCTTAAGAATTTAGCATCTTCCTGTGTGTCAGTGGTATATGTGGATTGGAAAGGCAGTGGAAGGTGCTTTGCCACAAACCAGTCCATTTTCTCAGAACTGTGTTAAGCCTTAAGTAAGTAATAGTATTATGCATGTTATAATGATGTATTAACATATCACTGTGGCTTTTACAGGCACGTTTATGCCCCAACTTCTGAAATGTAAAAACCAAAACTTTCCATCAAGGCTCACAGTCTTGACTAGAGGATAAATATTAAGACCTGCAGAATCACTGTGATTAGTAACTGGTTGCAGTGTCTTGATGGGGCTGGCTTTGGTTTCCAGACACCACCACTCTGCATACTTGTCTCTGCCAGAAGAAAATCTTTGTTCCCTGGGTGCTTAGAGCAGTGTAACATCGTCAGTGTTTTGACAAACAAGTCAATCTCTTAAAGTTTTCTTCTATAAAGTATGTTCCTCAAAATGCATTTTTCTGGGGTTCTGTTCTTCCTGGGTTGTAGGGATCCTAAACGACTTTGTGAGATAATTGACATGTGAGCAATCCTGCATGTAAGCAAGTGTTTTGCTGATCAGTGATACGAGTTAAACTCAGACACCAGAGTGAAAAGAGCAGGCATATTTTTACTTAAAATAACTAAATCATGTAACAGGACAGAAAACATACAGTAAGAAAAGACAGAACAGTGTGCTTAAACAAATAGGAAAATACGGTGTAATGCATCAAATCATTACTACCTGAGAAAGAATAGTGATTAAGACAGATACATCACCACTTGCATACTTTACCATCATCCAGACCCGCAGTGGCTGGGGAGCCCCGGTTACAGTGAGGGTTTGGAGAGCCTGTCCCAGCAAGTGGGAAATCCTACGCGGTGTGTCCACCCATAGGTGAGGCTTCCAAAGTAGCTGTGAGCGGGTCCAGCCTGGCACCTTTGTTTTAAGCAGAAATACCTGGTTTCAGTCTCGCATTAGGTTCCCCCCAGAGCCTGACCAGGGCTCAAGGAAGAAGCCAAAGGAGTTTCTCTGCTTCTCTGATTGGATTATGCACAAGGTCTCACATCAGGTCTAGGGGACAGAATCCTGCCTCTATGACTGATGTTCTATTAACATACAAAGGAGGGGAAAGCTACATTCAAGGTAGCTATATCGCATCAGGTCACGTAAGCAGACACCAGCCTCAATGACTCTGTTGTTCTATTCACATACAAAGGAGGGGAAAGATACATTCAAGGTAGCTACATCCTTCATGCATATTTCATTAAGGATTACATTCTGGGTTAACAGTTTCAGTTCAGGCCCTGTTGCTCAGGCTTCAATGCTTCCACCTTTTACATCAGGATAGGTGGTTTATTATAACTTAGTATAATACCTGTTGGCATAATGGTTACCAGTTATGAAATATACAGGATTCATCTGTAGGTCAACTCTGGCTTGGGCCTATTGTCCAAGCCTTAGCACTTCTGCAAGACTGATAAGAGCCTCAGCCTCGGCAAGGACATGACAAGAACATAGCCCTGACGGGAGGACAAAGAACTCGACAAACAACTCCAGGAAATGGGTTGGGTGGAGAAAGATATTAAGCAAGGCTGATGTGGCACTTATTATCTAATCGCAAGAAGGCTTGAAGCGTGTGAACAAAGCTAACTATCCAATCATAAGGAATTGTATCAGGTAACGTTCGCATGCACAGGAGAAAACATTATAAAAGGGCTTGCATAGTTTCAATAAATTGGCATTGCTTGATCATATTGGTTGTGTGCTTGTCCATATCTCCCACGCTGGGTTTTCTATTGGGTTTTTGTTTGTTTGTTTGTTTGTTTTTTTTACCCCTTCCCTTTATTTAAAAAGGCAGAGATCTCTATTCCAGTATGAGTCTTGCACCCTGCAGCATTGCAAGAGTGTTCCTATACTGAAAATACGCAACTACAGCTGGTAGTAAGTAAGTATACCTGTGCAACTTTTAAGAGCTGGTAGTGACACCCCAGGACACCACAGCAAGGGTTGCAGGACCTGCATGGCTGACACCACCCCTCTATGGTCCTGTGGCTGTTGGTCTTGGGTAGCTTGTATGCTTTGATACACAAAGACAGGATTGCAGTTCATGGGCAAGTACAGAGAAACCAGCCTTTGCTAGTCATTCTCCCCTGAGATCTGATTTTGTACAGGTTCTAAAGTGCCCATCTCTTTCCTATTAGACTTCATGTATCACAAACAGCTACTAGAAGAGGGTTCTCCTTTTGCAGCCTATCTTGATGGTTATGTCAGCTTCAAAATCATGGGCTAGAGCAGGAAGAGTTAGTGCCACCAGTTATGACTTCCTTACTCTACGATTTTGTACCACTTCATAGCAAATGATGTATGTTACGACAATAACCTCTGCCTCATAGCTCTGTTGTGTACAGAAAAGGACTTTGACTTCTGAAGTTAATCCACTGCTACTGTGAGATAGGAAACTGCCTGAAATGATTTTTTAAAATACATTTAGATGTTAAATGGCTATGTTTTCCTTGTCTTCTGCTGATAAAAGTCATGATCTTAAAGCAATTCAGGACATGGTTTATTTTAAAGCAGCTGAGTGATCCTAGAGTAACTTACATTATTCATGTATATATTAAAAGTGTGGAAGGTTGCTGCTGTAGAGGCTGAAGTACGGCGTGGTATTGCCATCCCCTGCCTGGGGCTTTGTTCCCTTAGTGCTGCTGCTGGCACAGCCACTCCAGGCAGAGCTGGTGCTCAGCTTGTTACAGATGGCCATTGATTTAAGTGGATGATTTTGGACCTTATGATGAAAAATAATCATGATTAAATAATTGAATAGAATTTTATAAGAATATTAGTTTTATAAAACTCAGAGAATAATTGTGTATTGTTTTAAGTAACTATGGAATACTGTATAACCATGTAACCAGCTATGCTTCTGTGAGATCACCTGTAAAGTCTCAGACCAAGACTGCATGGGCCACATAGTTCAATAAATATTATTCTTGAAATAATACTTTATTGTTTTGCATGTCAAAAGGTAAGATTAATAGAAATTAGAGAAATGAACTGTAACAACCTGCCTGTGTCTGCAAAGTTATGAAGAAACTAGGTAAAAAGTAATTCTGAGGGGGGGATGGCGACCACCAACCCATGGACACCCAAGGCTCATTGCAGGACTCCAGTGTGCATAACTGGGAAGAGGCGTGGATATTAAAATGATTTACAGGAATTAGCATGTTTATGTATGAGCACTTAATTAGTATGTATTATTGTATTCTATATAATCAACATGTTATACGAATTAGGTGTGCGCTGCTGGTGAGACGAGTCCCCTACACACCCAGCGCTGCTAACAAAGGAGTGTCTGTTATCTACATCCTGTTGGTGTTGATAAGTTCTCGATACCGGTTTTGGTAACGGGCTGAGGGGGCCGGCGGTGCTGGGCAGTCCCTGCTTAAGGCCTAGCGGGGATTGGATTAAACCTCGGCCTTTCTGTTGTGAGAAATCGATCTCTCCGCTAATGAGCAGTGCAGAAGTTATTTTTCCTCCAGTGCGTTAGCTTGCAAGTGCCCACTTCGCTTTGGTCCTCGGCTGCTGTCAGGGGTCACAGACGGAGCCTTCCCCGGCAGGTCCAGCGCTTCCTAAGCTCTGCCCAGAGCTGCCCGCCGCACCCGCGGGCGCTCTCCGCGTCCCCCCGCGTTTGCGGGC